AAAAAAACAGAAGTGAAGCTGAGTGAGGGTGAGCATTTGAGTGAAGTTCGGTCAGGCTTGATTCTGGCACTGATCGTACCTGATAATAAATAAAAAATAATCGTACCTGATGTTGATTCCTTAGGCTTAGGGAACCCAAGCAATTCGTAGGGGTACAACATTTCCTCCAACAACTTGTCGTAATTCATGGTAACTGGGACAACAGCCTAAAACTCTAACAACAACCGTAGAATCTTGTTTATTAATTAAAGAGACATACGATATCGTAAACCTTCCCCCGTAGATATGGTTCAAGAACAATCTGTAGAAGCCCATATTTCGGATGGAGGCTCTTCCCAACTCGGCTTCTCGTAGCTTCAACGAAGAATTCTACTGGTCTGTCGGAATGAATAATGTGTGTCTCCACGTACTCCGTCAGGATTGCCCAGTATATTCTATCCTATAACTAGCTTATATGCGTTCCAAAAAATTTTGTTTTCTGTGGAAACAAATTCTCCACTAAACTCCTAACCCATGTATTCTCAAACGCTGAAGTATTGCAGGACCAGATTCTCGAAGAGAAAAAAGATGGATTGCGTACCTCTCCGATAGAGCGTCTGATGTAAAATGCTCCACTTCTTCGTAAAACTTCGCTCATAAACCAAGAGTTCATAAAGTCCATGCCAGCAGCGATGGCAGGTAAAGGGACCTCCTGAGCAAAAAAACAATAGACAATAGGAATGATGTATGACCTATAACTCACATATTCAAAGCAGAACAGCGACAGAAGTATGAAGTCGAGGTAGGTCCTGTGCGACGGCATAAACACTACGGAAGTACTTTTGCAAAGCTCTCGTATTCGTTTCACTTGACTCGAGTTTACATAAATGGCATCGAAAATTCGCTTAAAAAAAGGAATATGCCGACAAGTGTTTTGAAGTTATTGAGATACTTACATCCAATACTTTAGCGATGCTGTAGCCAAAAATTCTAGTGCTCTGAAGCCCCCAGTTATGTGCCATTGTTTGCAGAGTTTTCTCAGCTTCAGACTGAAGCTTAGCGACTGACTCACCCGTTGTTCTGGCCTGCTCCAGTATAGCATCCTGGAATACTCATGCATACTTATACATAACTTGATTCTGTATCATTTTCTACCTGGCATTAAATAGCAATATCTCTAATAGCTTATGCGATACACCTTAGCTCTGAACAGTTGTGCTTTATGTGCATAAAAAAGCTTTTCATGAGGCACCACGTTTTAATACTCGGTATTTGCCGCTAAACCTTGAGGAAGACTTAGAAATAGACTAATATGAACTAAAGGATATGACAAGAGCTTGCCCGTGATAGTTCACATTACGCACCATGCCGTCGCCATATTCAAAATGTGTTTTGCTCAAATACTGCTCGTATCAATATCTCTACATACAGGGTGTTCCAAAAGTATGTATACACTGTTTGAT